AGACCCCCTAACCTCTCAAGATTGCCCATCCCCACGTCTACATTTCATGAAGGCCCTCCACTAGTACCCAATTTCCCTGCTTATCATCCTCAGATCAGAATGCAAATGCCACTTCCTTGGGCCTTCCCTGATTCTATTCCCCCCTCTAGCTCAGGTCAGCTCTCTATTATAAACACATTAGCTTCTACCTCTGTTTCATAGCACTTGGCAAAGTTATCCATGTGTTATTTGATTTATATTTCTACCTTTGATTTATGTAAAGGGCTTCCTGTTAAACAAGAGAATTTGCCTTATTCTCTGCTGAATTCATCCAGCCTAACGTGATGTCTTGAAGAAAGCAGGCCCTAGGCCCTTACTGCATATGTGTTGAATAAGTGAATGAACAAATGACAGGATTTGGAAACTTGCAGAATGTTGGACATGACCTAACGATTTTTAGGTTGCTGGCTTGAGTAGCTGGATAGATGTTGGTGTCTTTCAGGATCAACAATAATTTTGTTTGCAACAAAATATAATCCTAGAGTCATGTTATAGACACTCTTGTCTCTTGTGCTGAAACGGAATGATTACCCTGCATGTCAATTGAAGAGCCTTACTCACCTCACACTCTCACAGTTAAACATTAAAATGATGTACCGTTAACCAGACACTTGGGGAGGACCACCAGCACATGGGCTCAGTGATATGCAGTAGCCTCACAAGGCCCCTTCTATGGATTCTACCCCTCCCTTTTGTGGTTTCTCCTTTTAAATGATTTGAATGACAGTGGGAAATGCCTCATCCATAATGAATAGAATTTAATAATTAAGTGGTAACCATTTAACTCTGTCTGAAAGCAGACCTGCTTTCCTTTCCAAGGTCTGGGGCCTAGCTTAGACTTCTGTGATCAGAACAGCTTATTTATCTTCCAAATATCTTAGGTGTTTGTCAAGAAAATCTCATCTGAGTCCAGTGGATATTCAGAAATGCTTTTTCCAGACTGTCTTGAGAATTGCAGTTGAAGCCAGACTGGAAGAAGAGCCAGCTATATCTGTAGGTTGTCTCTCAAATGTCCTCTTGGTGAGAAAACAAAACAAAACAAAACAAGATAGTCCATGGTGGAAGCGAGGAAATAGGCCCAGGTAGAGGGGAAAGAATTTGAAAAAGCATTTGCCTTAGTGGAATCCCTTGGCTGAAGTAGCATGCTTTTCTCTCTGTCTTTTTAAGTCTGTTTTGTTTTGTTTTTGAGAGAGATTCTTGCTATAGGGTGCATGTGCTTGCCAGACAGAGTGAGACACAGAGAGATAGCAAGAAATCACCACCCGCCCCCCCAGGGGAGATGGCCATGCCCCAATCCCTTCTATTCTCCTCTCAGGATCTTGGGCACGCACACACGTACCCGGCATGAATTTTAAGCTGCTGGGTCTGGGACTCAAACTACAGTTGACTACATGGGAGTCCAGCGACACAACCATAATGCCATCTGCTGGTTCTCCTTCTCTTTAACTCTTTATCTTGAAATAAGTTTAGTTTGAAAGAGAAACTGAAAAGATAATACAGAGACTTCTGGTATACCTTTTGGCCAGATTTCTTTAATGTTAGCAGCTTACATTGCTATGGTACACTTATCAAAAGTGAGGAATTACCACAGGCACCATACGATGAATTCAGTTACTGAGTGTACTTGGATTCCATCAGTTTCTCCATTCATGTCCTTTTTCTGCTCTAGGAACTAGTTTAGGGTAGTCACATCTATGTCATGGCTCCTTTATCTCCTCTGATCTGTGACAGTGTCTCAGTCCTTTGTTTCCATCACCTTGACAGTTTGAGGAGTACTGGTCAGAATTTCCCTCAGTTTGGGCTTGGATGGTGTTTTACCATCATTAAGCTAGGATTATGGCTTTGGGGAAAGAGGATTATAGAGGTAAAATGCTATTGTCATTGTATCATCTGAACAAAATACATAATCTCTACGTGGAAAGAGTCCCCTTTTTTGCATCAAATGTTTATTCATCTCCTGCCATGTATCCAGCATTGAGCCTAGCTTCTATGAACATAAAGAAACCACTTTCTCCCTTTATTTACCATTTATAAACCATATCTCGGTGGTGTCCTGAGACTTGTTTCTCACCTAATCTTCATCTGAGATAGATATTTCTACTTTACAAAAATTATGCTACTTGCCCAAAGTCACCCAGCTATGAAATGGTCAAGCTGGAAATCGATTTCAGGTGTGCCTATCTTCTTTCTGCCCCCGCAACCGTGCCTTCAGTAGATAACAGCTCTGCCCTTGAAATGTTGCTCAGAGGATGAACCCATACACAAAGAAGAGACAGAAGGATTCTCCTCTACTTTAATTAAAAGGCTGAGTTTACCCAGACAGGGAACACAATATAGCTTCTCCAAGGAGGTAATATTTGAACTAGGAAAGAAGATCACTCTGGAAAAAATGAAACAGCATGCAAAAAGGTGTAGAGGTTCAAAGGTTGGTGTGTTCTGAGAAGCTCAACGTGGCTAGAGGGAGGAAGATGCTGATCTCACCTTCTCTGTTGGGATACATTTTCTGAAGAGTCTTGTAAAGGGTGGATGTATACCTCATCTCCCTCATCTGTCTGATGTTAGGGGCTTGTGGTGGGGTAGCAAGAGTTTGGAACTGGAACCAGCAGTTAGCGTAATGGCTATGTCGCTGGACTCCCACGTAGTCGACCACGGTTCGTGTCCTGGACCCGGCGGCTTAAACTCACACGGGGCGCGTGTGCATGCGTGCCCAAGATCCCGAGAGGAGAATGGAGGAGAAGGGATTGCGGCGTGGTCATCCTCCCTGGGGGGTGATTTCTTGCTTTCTATCTCTCTGTCTCTCTGTGTCTGTCTGGCGAGCGCATGCACCCTATAGCAAAAACCTCTCCAAAAAAAAAAAAAAAAAGAGTTTGGAACTTAGGGTCGGGGAATCCGGGACACAACCTATCATCTGCATTCACAACCATTCCAACTTCTCTCGCCTCCAGCTTCCACTTCTGTTCAATGGGGACAAAGCTTACTGCCTGTAGGGATCTCTACTCAGCTGATAGGAGAAAGGTAGGAAAGGACTCTGAAAGCTGGGACACAGAAGATATCATTTGCAGACACAAATACCACTGCTATCAATCTTTGGAACTGAGCATGCCCTGATCAAGATGCTCAGTCACAGGAGCTTTGCTGACAAAGGCTCAGTACATGGAACTAGTTGGCAGTGTAACCCTTGAAGTTCATATGTGAATCCCATTCCACTGCTTATTTTGTTACTTTTTCTTTAAGAGTCTGGGAGCCAATTATCAACCACATTCTAGAGATTTGATTAGGAGTATTAGCATCTCAGGCCATCTGGTCATGCTATATAGTCAGAGGAAAACAATGTCTTCAAAGATCTGACAGAGCAGTAGAGGCACTTGAGCAATTCCGATGACAGTATATCCTGCTCTGCATTGAGTTATTTTCCTTTGCTAAATTAAATTTCTCGTTAAAATCAGAGGGAAGGTCAGTATTCTTCACATGCTGTCTTCAAATTCCCCATCCTAGCCTTTGATTAAAATCTGACAGAAGTCTTGGTGCCATTAAGACTGCACACTTTGCATAAACCGAATTTAGGTAACTTTATCCTAATTGGTGCCACCGTGTAAACACTGACTCTCTGCAGGATGGAATCCAGCATCATGGTTAAGAACAAAGCGTATGCTGATAACATGAAAGAAAGCTCTAACACCTCGTATTCAGAACACACTCAGATCATAAACGCCAGCATTCTAAATGGCTTGCTGGCTCTTCGCAGACTCACTGGAACTGAAATCTATTTCTTTCCTAAGAGGTGTTTAGCTTTTATTATATCTTTACTCATGGTCAAAAGACATCAGCAAATTTACTAAAGTGATTGAAGATACCTTCTTAGGGTGTTCTCGAGTTTTAAATCTTTGTCTTTAATGCTTTGGACGTGAGCCTGTTTTCTTGGAGAGGAAACAATGAAATGTGTTTTTATACCGCATACGGTTTTGATAGTTGTAGAAAGCCCAGGTTAACAAAAAAATTAATGTTAACAAAATCTCCAGTGAAAATATCTTTGAGACAGATCTTATCATAAGAGTTTATCTCCAAGTTCATCAAATCACATAATCACCAGCTCTCAGAATCTCTTAATCCCATTAGATGGTATGTCAGGACTTGTTATTAATCTCTAGACCCACAGAGTCTACAACATGTTATGTATTTAACAAATATTTGTCTAGTGAATGATATCTCACATTTGCAGAAAAACTAGAGTTTCACTCAAACCCAATTACACTGTGATGAGTACATAGTGTTTGCCAGGTGAAAGTCAAGAGATACACAATGAGTGACTGTCCCTGAGACACATAAAAAGCGTGAAAGAGATTGCTGCCATTCTCAAATTTCAGAGCAGCAAGTTTAATTTCCATCATTTTTCCTCTTGGCCGAGACACACCTGACAGATGACATTGACATGTGCAACCACTCTCATGGGTATACTTAGGTTTATCTATGATTCCCAGTGTGCTAGTACAATCTCTGTCCACCTTCCCCTACTCAAGAAAATATACCAACACAAATGAGTGGGAATGTAATTAACACGCAAATTATCTTAAACCCACTGCAATTTATTGAAAAAGTAAATCATCCACCATTTTGCCATTGCATATAACAGTAGTATGTAACTTGCCAGGCATCTCAAAATGATTGGTACAACATTACATCATACCAAGACCAAGTACTTATTGACAGGACCCACTCCTGAGGAGCACTGGGCCTTCACACACCCTCATGCAGACCTTCCACACCTCTAGAGAAACCATCTCTGCGGCTCACGCTAGCCCCAAGGCAATCATCTGCATAAGCTCTGTCATCCATGGGAATTCCACCAGCATCAGAGGTTATTCCCATTAACAGTCGGCATAAGAATCTTGTCATCTACTGTGCATCACTCTGATGCCAGCATCATGACCTTGAGAAAGAGGAGTCATAAGCAGCCAACTTACCACACCACCACCCGCTGAGTGCACAAGCACAGACATCCCTTCCCGGAGGTTGGCAACTTCAAAGAGCATCATGTAAGCTGTGACGAAGTTCATAGGAAATGCAGCGGCCTCTGAGAAGCTCATATCATCTGGAATCTTGTAGACAAATTCCACTGGTGTGCAGACCACCTCGGCCCAGGCATTGTAGTTGACAAATGCCATGACACGGTCCCCAATCTGGACAAGGGGAAATAGAGTATTAGCAGAGGCTAGCTTATGACAGAGTTAAAGGAGAAACTTAACATTATCGGGAACTCTCCATTGTAGGAAAAATCCGTATTTTCTCCTAGCTCATGTACTTGGCACCCCTATCCAAATTCTTCAGAGTTTCAAAATCTTTTCTTTGAAACAAATGCCTTTAAAAAATGCAAACTGCTACTAAGTCTCACGAGTTATACAACTGATTTAATAAACCGTAATATATTTTATACACAGATAGCTCTATAGGAGGACCTATTTCCCCCTAAAAATTATGGATGTCTCTTTTTTTTTTTTGGAGAGGTTTTTGCTATAGGGCGCGTGCACTCGCCAGACAGAGAGAGAGACAGAGAGATAGAAAGCGAGAAATCACTTCCCAGAGGGGATGGCCATGCCGCAATCCCTTCTCCTCCATTCTCCTCTCAGGATCTTGGGCACGCACGCACACACACCCGGAGTGACTTTAAGCCACTGGGTCCGGGACTCGAACTGCGGTCGACTACATGGGAGTCCAGCAACATAGCCATTACACTAACTGCTGGTCCACGGACGTCTCTTAATTGATAACCATAGGCTTCACAGTATCAATCCATCTAACTATGGTTGAAACATGACACACAGCCTTACTCCACTCAAAACCACCTTTCACCTGAGCTGCATGTGTTCTTGTTTTAGGGATTCTCAGGAATTTTAGTCTCCCTAGCCTATGACTGAGGGATTTATAAGCTGGCCGGGGAGTGGATTTTTCCTAGTGAGAGGTTTTTTTATATGCACATTGTGATCACAGAAGAAAACTTACCACTTACTGAGCAATAATACTGCAACAGACTGTAATCTTCCTTTTATGTCAGTTATTTTCTTTAATCTACATGATAGTTTCATGGGATGGTATCCCCATTGTACATATGAAGGAACCGAGGGTAAGAAAGGTTAGGTCTCTTGCTCAAGGACACACAGGCTACAGACTGCCTAATTCCAAATATCTTTCCATGATGTCTTCGATTGTATATTAAGCCTCCTCTCAGTCTTAGAGTCTAGTTGCTGGAAATAAATTGCAAATGAAGTATAGTTCATGCTTTCAAATGGATCACGTTCTCTGAGAATTCCATGTGGCAAGTATTACGAGTGACAGGGGTCAGAAGGCAAGTCCACCTGGAAGATCATATTTTATTAGAGAACGTAGCCTTCAGCCAAAGGCATGAAACCATGATTGTGCTGTTTCAGGTAATCAGTCCAAAGATAATCAAGTTTATCTTTTTTGTGTGAGGAAGTGCAGTTTCAAGTCAAGGGATGGCAAAGGTGAGCTGCCTGGCATGTGGAGATTTGCTAGGTTGTCCAGGTCTGTGCATTTTGGAGTAGAGCTGGCACAGCCTCCACGTGTGCCTGGCAAAGTGCCTATGAGGACATGATTGTCCATTCAGACAGGGGATGATGTAGCAAAAAGACAATGGCCCAGTCCTAGTACCAGTTAGACCTGGATAATGAGGAGTGCAGGTGGATGAGACAGGTGGAGACAACAATAACATGTCCTTGGTGAGCCTGGGCAAATTTGCTCCAGCTGCCAGAGCATCCCAGTCAAAGGACAAGGGGAAATAGAGTATTAGCAGAGGCTAGCTTATGACAGAGTTAAAGGAGAAACTTAACATTATCGGGAACTCTCCATTGTAGGAAAAATCCGTATTTTCTCCTAGCTCATGTACTTGGCACCCCTATCCAAATTCTTCAGAGTTTCAAAATCTTTTCTTTGAAACAAATGCCTTTAAAAAATGCAAACCGCTACTAAGTCTCACAAGTTATACAACTGATTTAATAAACCGTAATATATTTTATACACAGATAGCTCTATAGGAGGACCTATTTCCCCCTAAAAATTATGGATGTCTCTTTTTTTTTTTTGGAGAGGTTTTTGCTATAGGGCGCGTGCACTCGCCAGACAGAGAGAGAGACAGAGAGATAGAAAGCGAGAAATCACTTCCCAGAGGGGATGGCCATGCCGCAATCCCTTCTCCTCCATTCTCCTCTCAGGATCTTGGGCACGCACGCACACACACCCGGAGTGACTTTAAGCCACTGGGTCCGGGACTCGAACTGCGGTCGACTACATGGGAGTCCAGCAACATAGCCATTACACTAACTGCTGGTCCACGGACGTCTCTTAATTGATAACCATAGGCTTCACAGTATCAATCCATCTAACTATGGTTGAAACATGACACACAGCCTTACTCCACTCAAAACCACCTTTCACCTGAGCTGCATGTGTTCTTGTTTTAGGGATTCTCAGGAATTTTAGTCTCCCTAGCCTATGACTGAGGGATTTATAAGCTGGCCGGGGAGTGGATTTTTCCTAGTGAGAGGTTTTTTTATATGCACATTGTGATCACAGAAGAAAACTTACCACTTACTGAGCAATAATACTGCAACAGACTGTAATCTTCCTTTTATGTCAGTTATTTTCTTTAATCTACATGATAGTTTCATGGGATGGTATCCCCATTGTACATATGAAGGAACCGAGGGTAAGAAAGGTTAGGTCTCTTGCTCAAGGACACACAGGCTACAGACTGCCTAATTCCAAATATCTTTCCATGATGTCTTCGATTGTATATTAAGCCTCCTCTCAGTCTTAGAGTCTAGTTGCTGGAAATAAATTGCAAATGAAGTATAGTTCATGCTTTCAAATGGATCACGTTCTCTGAGAATTCCATGTGGCAAGTATTACGAGTGACAGGGGTCAGAAGGCAAGTCCACCTGGAAGATCATATTTTATTAGAGAACGTAGCCTTCAGCCAAAGGCATGAAACCATGATTGTGCTGTTTCAGGTAATCAGTCCAAAGATAATCAAGTTTATCTTTTTTGTGTGAGGAAGTGCAGTTTCAAGTCAAGGGATGGCAAAGGTGAGCTGCCTGGCATGTGGAGATTTGCTAGGTTGTCCAGGTCTGTGCATTTTGGAGTAGAGCTGGCACAGCCTCCACGTGTGCCTGGCAAAGTGCCTATGAGGACATGATTGTCCATTCAGACAGGGGATGATGTAGCAAAAAGACAATGGCCCAGTCCTAGTACCAGTTAGACCTGGATAATGAGGAGTGCAGGTGGATGAGACAGGTGGAGACAACAATAACATGTCCTTGGTGAGCCTGGGCAAATTTGCTCCAGCTGCCAGAGCATCCCAGTCAAATGGTTGAGTAAGCCTGATTCAGGAAAGACACCTGCATCACAGAACCAAATTACTCCACCCCCAGAGTGTCTTCTGGGGCTCCTTTGCCAGAAGCAGGAGCAAAGCAGAGTCTGGTCTGCTCGCTGTAAGAGAGAGGCAAGCAATCAACGTGATGATGTGATCGCCAGGAAGGGGGACTTTCTGACTGCCTCTGCACGTCTCCTTTCCTTATCCTTGAACAGTTCGGCGTAAACACACTCATGTTTTCCCCCAAGGCTGCTAGGGGGAGGAGTAGTCTTTGCCTAGGCATCTCCTGTTTTCTGGAGCCCCAGTTCCCGCCTGACTTCTGTTTTCCCCTCTCCCAAACTCTTAAATGACCCCAGACTTCTTGGGTAATTGCACTGGAAGTGGAAGCAGTCTGTCTCAGGGAGATTAAGAAGGAAATATCAGCCAACAATAACGAAGTGGTAGCAGGCTGTGGAACTTAGGGCAAAGTGACAAGAGGGGAGGAGAAGGTTCAAGCCGTCTGCCTGTCTAGTGTTGACGCTTGTGTCTCCCCTCGCACTGTACTGCAAAGTCAGAGGGAAGAACTGAGGAGCAGGCATGCGTGCACCCCTGTGTCTGTGCCTGGTCTTCCCATCCTTTCCTTTTCTTTTGGAACACCCTTGATTTTGCTTCAATGTTCAGCTCAAATAGCCACCATTTTTCTGACACTTTTCCTGATGATCATTCTCCCCCCATGAAGGCAGAAGCTCTTCTCAGTGTCATTAGTATTTGCATTTACTGAGCATTTTCTGTGGGCTGGCACTAAGCACAAAGCCAATGTGACTGCACTTAATCCTCACAACCTACTTTCCAGTATCTTGTATTGTTCTCAGTATACAAACAGGACACTAAAGTTTAGAGAGACTAAATGATTTGCCCAGGATGACATAGTTCTAGGTAGTGAAGATGGGACTTCAATGTGTTGTTGTTGTTGAGGTTTTTGCTATAGGGCACATGCACTCACTAGAGAGACAGAAAGTGAGAAATCACCCCCCCCCTGGGGGGGGGGGTGGCCACATCGTAATCCTTTCTCTTCCATTCTCCTCTCAGGATTTTGGGAATGCACATACATGTGCCTGGCATGAGTTTTAAGCCACCAGGTCCAGGACCTGAACCGCAGTCTATTACGTGGGAGTCTGGTGATGCCACCATTATGCCATCTGCTGGTTCCATCTGATTTCTTATACAGTCCTTCATTGATGTGCTGGTCTCATCATACTGAGTTATCTTTCTGGGTGACTGTTGTCCTAAATGCCACACTCTCAGGGAGCAGAGGTTGGATCTCAGTGATTAAAGGATTCTGAGTTCCTTGACCAGCACTTGACATGCAGTGAGCAATGGGCTGATGGCTGTTACAAGAAACTGATCCATGTCTAACTTCTCCATGGCGGCAAATGGGAGAGAATAGCTGGTGAAGCCTCCCATGTGTCACAGCCCCAGCCTCAAAATCTAGAGGTGAGCACCTTATAAAATAATAATTCACATCAATATGTGGTTTGACTGAGGAAAAGAAATCCAGTTTTGGACAAATAAGCCCAAACTACTTCTTTCCTGGTTACCCTCTGGCAGTTACTTTTCCACTGTCTCTTGCAACTGATCAAACCAATGGAGCTGTTTAGCATGCTGCTGTATGAACCCTCTCTCCAACGTGATTGGAAATCTTAAGTTCAAATTACAGAGGGAATAGTAATATTGATTTTCTCCCGTATCACACGCTGGCTGGAAATTTGTAGGTGGCTTCTTTAATTTGTATGGCTTTAAGGCACTGGAGGGCAGAAGAGAATGCCAAAGGGTGGGCTGGATAGTAAACAAGCCTGGATTAACTAGCAGAAGAGAAATTATGTTCGAAGGAAAAATACACACAACTAAGTAGAGTCATTTCTCCTTCTAAATCAAGTCCAACAATGTCCCTGTTTACTGTTACATCCTAAAATAGTTGGTTGTTTATTCAATGTGCAGGGTTAATAGAGAGAGCAATATAATCTTTTCCTTTGGGACGATGTAGAGGAGTGATGAACAGATAATCTTCCTTATCTGCAGCACTTGCCGGGAGACATGGTGTATCTCTGGGTACATTGCTTATCGAGTACAAAAAATGCAAAGTTGTATTGAAAAAAAAAGCTAATTTACTTTTTCTTTCTTAATGTTTTTCTGCTGTGTTATCTGGGAACCACTGACAAAAAGACTTGATAAGTGAAATAAGATTTCTAAACATTTATCATAATGAATTTGGAGCATATTGATATTTTCGGAGTGTCATGAGCGCCGATGGAAAACAGGCTCCAATTCAACTCTAGGAACATTTCGACATTGCATGTTATAGGCTACTTATACAGTTCTGCTTCCTTGCAGTGTCCCAGTATGCAGGGATTGGAAGCAGAAGTCAAGATGGGGTTATAGGGAAAGTAAAAAGGCTCTGGTCACTTCAGTCCTGGCTCTACCAGTACATACCACTCTTCTGACCTCACAGAGAATTCGCTAAGCCCTTCAGAACCTCATCTGTACAGGGACAGGAACAACCTTTTTTTTTTTTTTTTAAAGAGAGATTTTTGCTTTAGGGCATGTGTACTCACTGGAGAGACAGAGACAGCAAGTAATCACCCCCAGGGGGGATGGCCATGCCATAATCCCTTTTCCTTCATTCTCCTCTTGGGATTTTAGGCTCGCATGCACACACACCTGGTGTGAATTTTAAGTTGCTGGGTCTGAGACTTGAACCACGGTTGACTGTGGGAGTCCAGCGACGTACGCCATCTGCTGATCTTAGGACAGTAGCAATCTTTACCTTGTAGGGTTGCGGCTAATCTGAAAAATGGTACTTTCCCCAGGGCTTTGGTTCTAATGGGTTTTCACATGCTAGTTCCCTGCATTCTTCCCTAATGGAGCACTTAGTTATAAGCAATCTGCATCCATTTTTCTGACTCTAAACCACTGCAATTTGGTTTAACTGACTTGCCATGGTTTTAAAGTTTTTATAGACCAGATTCCATTTGATTTGCATCATAATCACAGAGAATCACCCATCTTTTCACAGATTAAAAAATGTTTTATCGTGAAGAATTTTGAACACTACAAAAGTAGGCAGATGAATATAATAAGCCTTTTTGCCCATTGCCTATTCCCCAAATTCATCCATGGTGTTCCATGCTTAGGCATCTCTCTCTTTATTCTAAATCTTCTTCCAAAAATCTACTTCCCCAATTCCTGAGGTAATTAAGGATTTGTATCTTATCACTGAAAAGTACCCATGAGGCAACTGTTGAAAGGAGCCAAATTGTAATCTACAGATACTGTTTATTCCAGACTTTCACATTCAGTCATTGATTTAGGAGCCCAAGGTGATGGAAAAGTGGGGGCCACAGAGAAGGGAGGGTCTGGGCATACTTAGTTCAAAGCCAAAACCTCTTACTTAGTAGCTGCATAATGAGTAAAGTGGATGACAAGCTTTGTCCTGCCCACTTCACTTCACCAAAATAGCACATGAGAAAGGTATGGGCGATTTGAAAAGTCCTATCATTCTAAACCTTAGTAAATAAAACCAAATAGTAAGACAACAACTATAAGACATGTCATAGGTTATTTCAGACATTGTATTGGATACTTTTGTATTGTCTCAGTAGCTTCCAAATGAATATTAAAGTCAGAGTCCAAATATTACCTCGTATCCTTTCACGCTATCCCCCAAAGCTTCAACAATCCCAGAACATTCAAATCCAGGCACCAGGGGAGTCTTGGGAGGGTTGTCAATGTTCCCTTGTCGCACCATCAAGTCAATGAAGTTTAAACCACTGTGAACAGAAAATGTGAAGAGAGAGAAATTCAGGAGAAGACCCAAAAGAAAAGCTGGCCGTTTTCTTTTCTTTTCTCCATTCTTTCCCTTACGTCCCCCACTTCTTCTACCCTTCTTCCTCTTTTCTTTTTCCCTCTTTTCTGCCAAAGTCCCTAAAAGTGAAGCCCCTTAGATATCACCAATAAAGCAAAACTCAGTGATCTCTGCACAGGGAAGTAAATGCTTTCATGGCAATGTGAGTTTACATGCAAATTTAACAGAGAGCCCCTTTGTCCTCTCCCAGCACTGTTGTCTCTTTAAGAACACATATTGACTAGTCTGCTCATTAGACATTCTAGCACTTATAGGCAAAAGATATACTAGGAAGTGATTATAAACAGACACATGGACAGACAGCAGCCAGATACAATGGCTACCAGCCAATCTATGTGAAAGAAAAAATGACTGCATTTAGAAGGTCTCAAAACAGCCGACCATCTCTCTTTGATGACTGCACATACTTAAACCAGCACTGTGCGTAAACAGCTCCTACAGTGGCTGGTTGGAGCCATCAGGAGAAGACACTATATTCTGCTAGAGAAAGGTGACTAGAGAACGCCAAGAGATTACCTGATGGTATGGTAATACTGAAGTGTTTGTTTAAAAAAATGTAAGTTTTCTCTAGCAAAGAGAAGTTATTAGGTATTTTCTATGAACACGTTCCTTTTGACATAGGGGTTACCATTAAACTATATCAAAACTAAAGCCCTGGAAACCATGTGCTTAATTCCAGTGATGCCACCAATGCTCCAAATAGTTTTATTTCTTCAGAACTACTCTTTAGGGGAAGGGGTGGTCAGCAGGTGGCATAGAGGTTATAGGGCTGGACTCCTACATGGCCGACCATGGTTTGAATCCTGGATCTGGCATCTTGAAAATCATGCCAGGCACATGTGCATACATGCCCAAAATCCCAGGAGGAGACTAGAGGAGAAGGGATTGTGGCATAGCCATTCCCCCTGGGGTGATGATTTCTCACTTTCCCTCTCACTATCAGTCTGTTTTCCTTTGGTTAATGCACACACCCTGTTGCAAAACCCTTCAATATAAAAGCAAATTAGTACTCTTGGGACTTGCCTTTAACACCCATTTTCTAATCACATGGGAACACACATCCCATGAACATGCCTTTTCCCCAACAAATGTGGTTCCACTGTACTTCCTGTTTTCATAAGTGACTCAGTTATAGAAACCGAACTCCTCAGTCTGACCCAAGGTCCAGGAACATCTAGAAGCAGCTTCTTTTCAAACAAGATGACTTGAACTATTTCTTAAGCATGTATCACCTATTTCTTCCTTGTCCTCTTCAAATCCACTTGCATCTCCTGGACTCACTCTTCAGTTTCATCCACAGAGAATGAGTAAAGGGAATAAGAATGACTTCTTTGAAGGGTGGGTTCAAAGTCATCACCCTTTGAAACAGCTTCTGTATTCTGTCTCCCTTAATACTATAAATCTTCAAAAAACAAAACAAAACAAAAATATGGTATGTGGACTAAGAGAATCAGCCTCACCTAAGAACTTGTTAGAACTGCAGAATCTAGCCCCAGACCTACTGAATCTTCATCTTCATCTTAATATTCCCTAGGTGATTCACATGCCCAAAGTCTCAGAGGTCCTACTGTAAATAAGAGGAAAGAAAATCACACCTTCTCAAGGTTTCCCTGCCCATGATTCAGGCAAGTTTCACACCTGACCCCCACTGTGCATCCTGAAGTGGGCCCTCTTTGGAGGCAACTGCATGCCTCATAGTTCTTTGCTTCCAGAATGCCCGGCATGCATCAAGCCCAAAGCAATGCAGTTGCTCAAGTAACATCTGCTGAGTGAAGGAACAGACAGAGCAATTCAAGAATATGTGCCCCCAGTATCAGTGTTAGTTCCTTTTTTTTCTTTGTCTTTAATAAAATTTTATTTATTTGAGTTGCCAGAGGGTGTATGCATTCATCAGAGAGAGGGAAAGCACTCCCTAAGCAGACATGATCATGCATGATCTTTTTTCCTCCTTTCCTCCTTCTAGGCAGGATTTTGGGCACACGTACATACATGTCAGCATGTTTCTCAAGCCACTGGGGCCAGGACTTGAACTTTGGTTGGTCGTGTGGGGGCTGACTCCTATAACCACTGAGCTATAGGGCCAGTCCCTAATTCTTTTTAAAAAGAAAACCAGGAATAGAGTAATAAATACATTTCTGAAATGTATGTGTAGACTCCCAAAGATCCTACTTTGATGGTTAATAGCCATTTGGGTCACTTATGAACCAAAATGTTGTCCAATAACATGGTCAGTTTCTTAAGAGTTTATGGAGACCTGGGTACAAATCCTACTTCAACCAGTTTTACCGATATAACCATGGATAAGTTCCTTAATGCCCTTGTCAATGCCTCAATTTCTTCATCTATAAAATAAGGGTTAGGGACCTGCAGGTGGCATAATGGTTATGTTGCTGAACTCCCACATGGCTGACCATGATCAAGTCCTTGACCTAGTGACTTGAAACTCACACCAGGTACATGTGTGTGCTTGCCCCAAATCCCAAGAAGAGAATGGAGGAGAAGGGATTGCAGCATAGCCTCACTTTCTCTCTCTGTCTCTGGCAAGTGCACATGCCCTATAGCAAAAATCTCTCTAAAGAATAAATAAATAAAATAGGGGTTATGATGGTACTTCATAAGATTGTTGTAAAAATTAATGACAGTAAAGCATTAAAGCACAGTTTCAGGTACACAGTAAGTAATAAATAAATGTCAGCCTTTACATTCATATCTCCAGTTAAGGAGTTAGAAGTGTGATATAGTTTTAAAAAGACTCCCACAAAAAAAGGATCAAAATCATTTTAGAATTGACATTGAGAAACTCTAGCTATCTATAAACTTCTATGAAATGGCTCATTTTCTGACACAACCAAATAAATAAAACATCGCCGTGTAACAATAGAAGGAATCTCTATGTCCCAAATTAAGCACTCCATCTCATTTCATGCATGTTTTAGCTCGCCGTGTTTTCCTTTAAGTGAAGGGCCATGATCTCCTTGAAGGAGAAATGCCAGAAGAAATTACTTGACAGTTCTGCAAACATGGCAGTCCCCTGGAGAAGGCTTCAACCTAGACAGGTATTGGGCCGCTCACTAGGGCTGCCTTCAATCACCCTGTAGCATCAGCTGGGCCTGGAGATTGTAAACTGAGAGCCAGCTACTTACGTCCCAGTGTGAAGGGGTAAGATTGACTTTATAAAAGCCTGCCTGGAGCATTCTGTTTCCTCTGTGAGGCAGTACATGGTTCTGTTAGAGCTTGGAGAATATCACCTATTTTCAGAAAGCAGGTATATCCCTGGGGAGGTAGGGACCAGCAGTGTTTATTTCCACCCAAAGGGGAGATACTTAATGGAGTGCCTTTGTGGGGTTTCACAGGGCCTGCCCACCCATCTCTTTCTGGGAATATGTTTAACATGTATTGAGGATTTATTTGTGGTGGGAGTTATGCTGTGTTTTTATTTTGTTATTTTATTTAAGACTTGATGGACCTGCTTTGAGATATAAACTATCACACCCATTTTTCTCAGAGAAGGAAACAGACCTTGTGAGATGAAGGAACTTCCTTTAGTCACAACTTTAGAAAGGAAGAGGCTGGGAGAAGGAGGAGAGTCTAAGGAAAGACAGTAAGGAGAAAATTAGAGATGCAAGACATTTATGGGACACAGAAATGAATTATTATCTGTGAATGATAACAAGTGTAGTATCCCCAACTGGAGTGGTGAGAAATGTATTCGTGTTGGAAATGAATGAATAAGCTTTATAAGCTAAGTGATGTATAGTGATTGAATGTATAAAAGAAATTAAAGTAAAATATATTAAATTTAAAAAAAGAAAGATCAGGATTTAATTTAAGCAAATTCTAAAACCAAAGTCCTTGTGCAAGACACTCTGCTACTTCTCTATGGAAACTCTGCTTTCCACAAAGTCCTTTGTTCCCTCATACAGCTCTTCATAATACAACTTAGCTTGAGCTACCTGTGTGATCTCTGTCCCAAGAGACCAAAAGACACAAATTAAGACAAACACCCAAGTCAGTTACTCAGAATTACCCCTTGGGACTGGCATTATTGACTCCATTTTTTTCTTTCAGACAAGTATCATTATTCAGAGACATTAAGTTACTTGCTCAAGGCCACATAAACAGTGGCTGATGAAACCAAGGACTTAAACTTGGGTCTAATACTTTTATTTTTCTACCACAACAGGAAAAAAATGGGTATATCAAGCCATTCACCTTCCTAATTACTGTTTCTAATATTCTCTAAGATAATTTGATTTTTGAAGCTTATATATTTATTTCTTCCACAAACTAGAGAGACAGAGAGAGGCCGAAACAGTGAGAGAGATCGCACTCCTGACAGGGTCCTGAGCCACAATCCACTCCCAGCTTCAGCCAGCTCCAGATTATGGGTATACACATACCACAGGTACTAAGAGAGCTCTCCAGGCTTGAACTGGGAGCCATCACGTGTGGGATTGCCTCAGAGTTGTTTTACTGCTGTGTCATTCTTGGACTATAATTTGATTTTTTACCTTGAAATCTTTTTGAGGGGTGTCATGACTATGCCTGATAAATCAGACCCACACAGGATAACACTCAGGCATCACTCTTAATTTTTATACAGCTCTTAAGCACTTAATATCATCTTATTTACATATATACAAATACACACACACACATAAATAAATAAATAGTGTTGAAAAGTGATTGACATAGTGTTTTGTTAAGTAATTGTATGTTTCTGAAGGATTGGTATAATTTTAATAAATGAGATTGTTTCATTTTTCTCCACGATAAATTATTAGTCAGAGGCTAGGTTTTAAATGGTTATTATTGAAACATAGCATCCCAAAGGCAGGAAAGCAGAGGTTTGAGAACAGGACCCTGATAAACTCAAAACATAGGATGGGGGATCTGAAGATGTGA